AAACAAAACGATCTAGGTCAGGGGCTATATTCAGCCAAGTTACAATACTAATATGAAATGCGATTTGTGCAGGTTTTTTGTTGAAGAAATCATAAAATATACGGGAAATTCCCAACTAGGAAGCGCTTTATGTTGTGGCCATTCCGTTTACTTATCTTCCCTACGCAGAGTGGGGCAGGTAGCTGAACGATAGTTCAGATAGTGCTTGCTTTTCCATAACTGCAAATACCAAGGAAGCAATGCGTCCTCATCGCCCGGACGTCTGCCGATTCCGTGAAGGACATGAGAAAAAGATTGTCTTGAGCAAATGGCCCATGCCATATGCAAGGACAAATGATGCGTGTAGATAGTTTTTCCTTTAGATACATTTGTAGAATGTGTGGGGGTGGTCCACCTGCGATGCACACTAATCGAGGAATATAACTTACTATGTGCATTTTGTTGGTGTTCGTTGTTGGTGCATGGATGAATTGCCTTTGCCTCAACCACAAGTTGTTCAATACCCATATTCAGATGCACCACGTTTAGGAGTCCGTTGTACTCATGAAGATTGACCTTTACATCCATGCATAGTTGCAACCATGCTGACCGCATCCACGCAAGCAATTGTACATGGTGCCACCATTGCAGAAGTTGCACATAGATTTCATAATCACAAAATATACCAGGTTGCCTGATTTGGGAAAAACAAATGATGCTCGCGAGCAGTTCCCCCCCCCACACACGATTCGACCCTCGTGAAAAACAACTTTAAAAATTGGTGAAAAAATATTTGTCACAAATTTGGAATGGTGTAAATAGCATCGCACGACTGAGCTACCTCAACTCAAGGCCCCGGGGGTCTTCCAACTGAACGTGGATACTGGGAGCATTAGCATTACCGAGTTTGGCTTCGGTGGGTGAAACAACTTGATAATCACAAAATATATCATGGCCATATTCTTCACTAGTTCGAGACTACTTGGACCCTCATGCCTAAATGGGCCGAACCGTAAACCGACCTATGAAGAATGTTTTCCCCAAAGTATGAGGCATTCTCCACCCTCAATCCCACTAACTCAATTACTGCGACTTTTATCGGAATGGATTGTCCTGGTTCCTACTTCGACAATCTTTGTGCCACTACTGCCAGCCATGACGGAGTGTCTTGGTCGAGGATGACACCTACCATTCCCCTAACCTCCCAAACTATATAAGTTACCTATCTAATTATATACTACCATCCTTCGTGAGTGAGGAAAACCAATTGCCTCAGGAATTTTGCAATATAAAGAAGAGAGGAAATACAACTAATTTTTTCCACACACAAAAAAGGTGAGATTGAATCGCTATTCGAATAATAATTGAATAAAACTGAAAAAAACATTGGAGTCCGAATTCGTGCCACAAACCTTGCGGCATGGCCTTTTGTGATTCTTTGTTTATACTAAGCCAACTGGAAGCGGTTCGATTGCCATCTGCCGCTTGTCTGCGTGACCAATTGAAATTGGGAGAGACTCTTCCTCTTTTCTCGGGTACCCCCCGCTTAGGCACGATTTGGCTGGAGTTTCTTATAGATACATAATAAAAAGGTTTTTTGTCGGGCGAGGGCACAACTTTACCGGGAGTGCTATGCCATGCCTGGGCCGAGATGGTAGGGTGCTAATGTGCATTGAGGTGCAAAGTTGCGACGACAATGTTGCGAGGGCATGGCAGGACAATATTGTGCGTGGCGATGACACTTCTCAGGGACTTTCGTGGATGTGGAGGTAGGGGTGTGAGGTTCGGTGATGGGCGTACACGCGTGAGGGAGGGGATGAGGCGTTTGGATGTGGTAGGGTGCCACGTGGCATAGGGTTATATCGTGATGTTGAGGGATTTCTCTCTGCCTTTTGTCTCTAACTTTTGTCTCTTGCCTCTTCGGTCCTTTGTTGTTTTGAGTCGTTGGGTTTGGACTGAATTTTATGTGAAGTTGTGTCGACGGGTTCGACACTGTCATTCACAATGCAACCGCATTCTGGGAGTAAAAGGGAGGCGAGGGCGTCCCACTAATCTCTTATGGGTGGTGCACTTCGCCGTAGGGCTACACTAGTACTGACTGTGGGGAGGATGGGCGGCTCCATCTGCAGGAAGCGGCCGGGGTTGAGTTTCGTCTGGCCAACGGTTGGGCAGTTGGACTAAGGGGATGCAGGAGTGGAGCGGCGCATGATGGTCTGCAGCGATTGGCGACTTCAAGTGAACTGAAGGCGACCTCACGTGGGAACGGAAGCCCTGAGTGCAACAATTTTTCAAATTCCAACCTTAAGAATTACCCTGATAGATGATCTGATGGCTAGGGATTTTTTATTTGTGAAACCCTAATTTTGTTGCCTGATCTTGTTTGTGCATTATAATTTACTCGCCCTTCTGATATCTGCCTGTATGGTGATGAATTGCATCCTGGTTTTCTGTTCCAACGTAAGATGGATCTGTGATCGGATTTTTTGTTTGATTCTCAATTTGTAATTCCCTATGGTATTTCGTGATTTACGATAAGGAGTTTATAATTGATTGCTTTATTAATGTTCTTCGCATACTATGGTATGGTGGATGCTCATTAATCGGATTTTTCGATCCCCAATTTATGACTCTTAAATTGAATGTCTTTTCAATATTTCTGTATTCATGATTCTCCAAAAATACCTCTCAATACTTTTGCATAATGGGCATTTGTAAATTGGTTCCTTTAATCTAGATGTCATGGTTTTCAAATGGTGCGAGATTTTTAGTTAGCATATTCTCAATTTGTTGTTCATAATTGTTCTTAAAGTGACATCTTTCGATTTGAATCTTGAAATTTATATTTGGTAGAAATTGATTGCGCAACGACTAAGGGTGGAGGATTTTATCGAGGATTTAGGACGACGACTGGGATTATCTTTTTCAGGGTTGGAGCTCTTTCTTGAGGGTTACACGAGGTGAAAGGTGTATCCTTGAAAGGGTAGGGTGAAATTGAGGATTTTCCTCTTCTGGGGGCGGGCTGATCCTTGGGCTCATATAAGATAAGATGGATAGGTCAGAGAGGACAAGGGGTGTTGTGTGTTTAGCAGGTGAGAGACAAAGCGGGTTGTTCTACTTAGAGGGGGTGGGACAAGAGGGATGGGGGGACTTCACTTTGCGGGGGCATACTCTAGGGGGTATTGTATGTCGTTGAAGGAGCATGGGTGTCCGTCAGGGGGATGTTTTTAACTGAGGCCGGTGGGGAGAAGGGGCTCCTTTATGCAGAGGCAGTGTAGGGACAGGGGGTAATTTTTTTTAGGGGAGGAAGTAGTTCTGGGGGTTGTCATGAGTCATAATGTGAATTGAGTTTTTGTCCTTCACTGGATCTACCATACGGAGAGAGGATGATTTTCCCCTCCCTTTTTCTCAGCTCCAGGGGGTGGTGTTGGAGGAGGCTCTAACATCTCTGTTGGTTGTGCAATTTGAATTTCCTAAAAAAATCATAAAAAAAACTCGAAAGCTTTGCGCTGGCTGGGGTGGATTACACTGGTCTTGAGGCTAGGGATTCTGCATGGTTGGATATAATGTGTCTTACTGGTGAAGGGGGCTAGCTAGTTGGACGATATACAGCACAAGAACATTGGAGATGGTGATTCTATTGGGGTAAGCCTTGCCGGAGTGGGGTTAGGGATAGATGGATGTTTCCAGTTGAGGATCATAATCAACGCATGAGGGAGTTGGAGGTCTTGCAATTGCAGATATGGTGATGAATCTGGTGATAGGGGTTGCTCGATGTTCTGCTAACACCGTTACACCCATAGGTTGGCGAACGGACGAGGCTAGAACGATGCTGGTCGGTGGTGAGGCTTGGTTGCGCTGCCCTGTAGCCTGAGTTATGGGGGGGTACGAGGCCTGGTAGAGAGATCTGGGGACTTGTCGAGAGGGGAAGACACTCCAGTGTCCATTGGTGAGCTGGTACATAGACGATGCTGGCCGGAGCCGGGGCGAGTTGCTCCGCCCTATAACCTAGCGTGGGGGTTGTTCTGGAGTGGCTAGCGCCGCTTTGTAACCTATCAGTGGGGGTGTGAGGCTTGGTAGAGACTAGGTACCGAGGATATGACGGCTGAGGCAGGCTGAGGTGGGGCTGTTAAATCACACTAAGGTAGTTTGTTTTCTGGCCGAAAACTCTCAGGGGATAATGATTGAGATTCAGGGGATAATGATTGAGGTTGCTCATGACCCTTAGAAAAGGTGTAATTGCTATTCTCATCCGAAGCCGGGTAATGGCCCTGGTATCTCATTTTGTTTTGTGTATGTTCTCAAATATGGTTTCAAATGAGACGCTGGGCCCGGTTCCCAGTACGTGGTGCTCCCCATGAATAAATTGGAGCATTTGGTGAGTGGTGGAGGGAGGCCCAAGGCCGTTGCCCACCGGGTTGGTGGCCTGGATAGTCGGGAGATCTAAATATTTTATGGGAAATTTTATCTGTACCCCTCCAGTGGTGGGACTTGGATGGTGGACCACAAAATTATGCTCATACCCACCACGTGGACTGGTGTGGACCAACGGGTGCTGGGTATGAGCATAATTTCAGCCATCGGTAGAGGGTATATGAATAATTTGGCCGGTCCACCTCAGTCCAGGGTATGCCCATAATTTTGCCTGGGTGTGTCCATAATTTGTTCATTCCGGGGGCTAGGTCCCACTTACACGAATTAAGCGATATTGACCGTAGATTGCAAAGATCAACGGCCAGAATCTCTTAATCAGTGCAAGCGTCCTTGCCCCGGTAGTTGGTTACAACTGCAATTTTGCAGTACCGACCCGGGCCCACCGCAGTCCTGGGCATGCACATACATTTGCACTGACCGTTTTCCGGTATAGGTGCAAGTTGGCACTTGGACTGGGTATAGCGGGTATTCCCATCTTTAAATGGGGCCACAGATGGAACCTAGGCCGTCGCTGCGGCACGACAGGGCCAACGGCCCTGATGGACCTAGAATAGGCTCACCGCAGTGTGCGTGGGTGTGCGTGGGGGTGTTCGTGTGCGTAGGGCGAGGGGCGGGGGCCTGCGCTTGCCGCGCACACACCCACACGCCCACCCCCCCCCCCACACACAGAGGACCGAGGGAGATACATGAGCGGTGTCTGGTTCTCTAGATTGATGGTGGAAGCCCCGAAGAGTCGAGCTTTCGGTTTTTCGTCGTCGGAGCAGTGAACAGCTCCGCGCGGAAGAGGTAAGGTGCGATCTTATCCTTTCCTCTCCTCCTCCTCTTTCTCCCTCTCTGGCCTTCCACTCTCCATCTCTCGACATCCTGTCGCAACATTTGTCTGCACTTACTTTACCCATCTCTTCATTGTCTTTTTTATCAGTGGGTGAGCTGAGCAGGAGGAGGGGTAGGAACATGGCGTTGCTGACCGCAGAAAGAGCGGGATGGAAGAAGAGCTAGGGGGCTATGGTGTCTTCGATTGGCTCTTTTCAATAATACAGTAATTCGGGTTGTCTCTTTCCATTTCGCTTCCCCATATTCCTTCCTTCCTATTTTTCCCTTCGCCGTCTTCCTCCTGCACGTGTTACATCTGTTATCCTCCTTCATGCCATCCTTCTCTCCGCTTCCTCCTCCTCCACGTCAGCCTCTGCGTAATATGGACAGTTCCCTGTGGAATCCATCGAGGTCATTATCCCCCCACCTCCACGAGAGCGCGGGAAAGGAAGGGCAATGGAGAAACGATGACGATTCTAAGGTAAGATGGGTGAACGAAGAGGAGAGGGGGGAGAGGAGAGATTAGATGTAGATGACGATGACGAGAGGGGGGTTTGAAAAGCTGCATGGCTAGAGAAGACCTCAGCACTCGGGATAGTGCAGGAAAGCTACTTGTCCATGTCTTTTTTCTTTATGCGATCCTTCTCCCCCACATCATCCATCTCCTCAGCCTGGGAAGAGCGCAGGAAAGACGTCGTCAAACTGACACTGAGGCTAGGGCTAGAAAAGCTACAAGGGTTTTCATGTTCTCGTCGTCGTCCTCCACATTCACCTCCTCCTGCAGATTCTGCTTCCTGGCGGTACACACACACACACA